CGATACTCTAACCTGCAAGCTCTGCAGATGCTCTAACCCCCAAGCTTAAGGCTCTCCACCGTAAAGCCTCTCGGTCAAGCTACGAAGAACCCCCCCCTGCCCCGCCTTCCAGGTGCTCCCGCGAGACAAGCGGGAGTGCGTTTTGGCACTCCAGAGATCCTATGACTTGGTGGTGGGCATGACAGGCGTGGGTGTTTAGGCTACAAGGGTATTAGGGTTTCGGTTTAGGTTCCCGGCCCAGGCAGCTGTGTCGGGTGCTGTGATGCAGTTCAGGCAGTTCAGTTCAGGATGTGACGACAAAAGGCATCAACTATTTTGTGAATTCCTGTTCAGAAGCGCTTCCGTGCTGAGAGCATTTGAGTGCTTTAGCCTTCAGCCGGCACCTTCCAGGGTTACTCCAGGTTTGTCCGTGCTGTCAGGCGATGGTGTGAACGACGCACCTGCACTCTCCGCGGCCCAGTGTGGAATTGCTGTGGAGGATGCGACCGACGCCGCCAAGAATGCCGCCGAAGCTTGCCTGCTTTAACAAGAACCGCTATGCCACAAGTGAAACAAGTACTATAAATCATAATGTGTTATTAATGTTATTATTGTGCTCGTGAATAACAGTAGTCATAACAAAAACAATATCGTTCATAATGAACGATAATCATACTAATGGTAGTACGAGTAATCCAGCTGGAGCTCAGGCCATGATCCTGACTACTGAAGGCTTGTCAGCAGTCTTCGGGGCAGTGGTGGAGTCCCGCAAGATCTTCGCGCGTCTCTTCTCCTATGTCTCCTACCGCCTGGCTGCCACTATCCAGATTCTCTTGTTCCTGAGCATCCTTGTTTACGTCTTCGACTGCACTCTTGATCCCTTGCACCCCGACTTGTGTATTGAAAGTGGTTCTCTTCAGAGCTGTCTTGACACGTTGCTTCAGTTCCCGAGCTTCGTCATGCGGTTTGTAAGCTGTAACGCGTGCATGACTAGGTACGTGATCCTGCTCGCCCTCTTCAACGACGTCACTATGATCCCCGTGGCGGAGGACAACCAGTCGGCTGCTGCCGAGCCTCAGCATGCCATGATCGGGCACCTCATTGGCTTCTCCATGACACTTGGCATCTTCCAAAGTGTCTCGGCCTCTGGGTGTCTGACACGTCCGCCCTGTACGTATGAGGTCCGTTCTGGCAGTACGTTTGTTGTTAATACAGATCTTGTGGTCGGCTGACGAAAGGATACAGTTAGGTTGGACGTCAAGCCTACGTGAACATCCTGGGTCTTTGTTGAGCTCGGCCTCTGTGTGAGTGTGTGCATGTGTGGCTTTCTTCATTACAGCTTGTTGCTGCAGGTGTGGCCTCCATCATCTTCTATCTTTGCATGGATATGGGCTTGATCAAGGGCATCGAGAGCCACACTGTGACTTAGTAGAGTAGGTAACCTTACAGCTGTCCTGGGGTATTATATTTCATCATCCCAATATGATCCCAAAGGTTGGCCTTAAACCCCACACCCTAAACCTTGAGCCCTAAATCCTAAACCCCTAGACCCTAAACCCTGACCCCTTAATCCTACGCCCTGCTCTCCCTGTAAGGTGACCGGGCACTACCCCACGAGCGTCCATGCTCAAAATGCGATCTGGCTCCAGGTCTCCATCGCTGCGGAGCTCCTGATCTTTCCCATAAGGGAAGCAGGGTTTGGGGTTCAGGGTTTCGGGGTGTAGTTGTAGGGTTTGGGGGTTTAGGATTAAGGGTTTAGGGGTTTAGTCAGGGGTTTAGGGGTTCGGGGGGGAAAGAATCCCTACAAGAGTCCCTCGCAGAATCCTTGCCCTCCTCCACTCGCAGCAGCTAGGTTCCTGATCTTCTCCGCCAGATCACCCGGGTTGTTCTTCTTCAGCAGGCACGCTGTCTGTTTACCCTGTTATCCATGCACCGGAGCAGCCAGGTTCAGACCTTGCACTGTAGTACTGGTGAATTTTGCATAATTGTATTGGCGGATTGTCCACAACAGGCCATCGAATGAGCTCTTGGCTTCTACCATGCTGGGGAACATCGTGTCCACCCTCTTAGCGGTTTACGCCTTCCCAGAGCCCTTGGATTTAAGCGAGATCATCACCATCTGGGTGCCGCCTGGCGATGTTTTAGCACGACCCTCCTGTCGTGGCTCATGCAATATGTTAGTCAGAGTTAACCCCAGCCCTAAGCCCTAAACCCGACTAAACCCTGAGACCAAGAGTGTACCAAAGCCCTAAACCCTAAACCGTAAACCCTAAACCTTGAACCCGAAACCCAAGACCGAGGTACGACCTCTTGGCACTCTTGGCCGTGGACTTGGCCAAGATGGTGTACAAGTTCATCCACGAGGCCGAGGCAGCTGGCATCATTGAGCCTTGGATGAACATAATGATACAATCTATGAGAATAAAATATGGTATAATACACTGTAATGTACTGCAACAGATTACGATACACAGCACCATATAACATAATAGTATAGGGGGCGTGTACGGTTGTTTTAGGACTGAAAAAGGTGAGGGTTGAGGTTGAGGGTTGTTTAGGCTTTTAGGGTTTGAGTCCTGCTGTGGGCCTGTGGTAACTGTCCCTAAACCCTTAGCCTTCAACTTCTAGATCTGGGTTTTTGCTCTCCGCCTGGGCCCTCCGAGGATGAGTATCAGATCGAGCAGGAGGACAAGTCCTTGCAGCACGGGGATGAGACGAAGCCGATTGAGAACCCAGAGGCTCACATCAAGAAGTACCGTGAGAGCGTCATGATCATGAAGCAAAACAGCACCCTGGCCAGAAGTGGCAGCAAGTATCGACTTGTTTTTTTTCCTGCAGGTTTCCGGTAGCCTGTCTGGAGTCGGATCTGCTTGAAGGCGTGCGCTTGAGCCAGAAGCCGCGCTCCTCCATGAAGTTCCTGTCTACCGGACAGCAGAGATCCAGCCGGATCGTCTCGCAGTCTTCCAATATGTCCAACAAGAACTTCACGCAGACGCGCACTTCTATCCGAATGGGTGATGACTTGCGCAAGAGGACTCCTGCCAACTCCATCCGCATCAAGTGAGTGCTGCAGCAGTACTAAATTTTGCCTGCCACCCGCCAGGCAGTATGGTTTAAGCATTTTGTGCCTGACAGGCACCGTGTAATCGCTTAATATTGAAGCAGTCTCATGACATTAACCAGACATCCAAAGGTTGGCGAAAAAGTGTACTGGGATGGCCAGCATTGCTAGAGGAGTCTGCTACTCATCATGGCCTTCGCACGAGAGCCGCCATAATCATATGTGCAAGGTCCTCGGAACATGGTTTGCCGTTGCTGCCTTGCTGTCTTCATCATTCTGAAAGAGTCTGCGCCTCGTCAGCAGCGACCCATGCCACCTCGAAGCGATAACGCTGATGTGTGTGAATGGCTCAGCAATGCATCAGGCGACGTAGCCGAACCGGGCGTTTTAGAGATAAGCAGGCCTGGGGATGTACTAATATTCAGGCGATTCCGGGAGACCCACAGTGCCACACATGGTGGTCTATGAGGATTCGTGTTGCTATGGTTCTGATGTCTGCGATTACGACTTTACTTCAAAATCACCGTGGTCAGTCGCTAAACTTGTTGTTCTTGTTTTTCCTGTTGCTGTTGCTGGCCGGCCACCCCGTTGGGTTCGGGGGTGTAGCCAGCCGCGCAAGCATGCCGAGCGCATGCCTGGCGACTGCGCAGGCCGAGACCCTAAACCGACAAAGCCAGTTTAGGGTGTAGGGTTTTCATGATGAATCACGGCTTACCGGATACTGTATGCTATGGTTTAGGGCTAAGGGACGCCTGCGCAGCTTTGTATTTGCTATTGCTGCAGTTAATTACTACCAGGTGCGGCCACGGTTGTGATGATTCTTGTCTCCATAATGACGGCGATTGATCTCAGCTCCACTTTCCTTGCGACTGCGAGGTCAGTTGTTCCAATTCCTAAATTCAAGGCAAAAGCCTTACATATTGAATCCTACAAAAACTCTTCACAATCATGCCGACAATGCGGCACAACAGATCGTAGCACTGGCGTCCACCAGGGCTAAGCGGGCTTGTTAAAAGGTAAGCCTCGTTTGAAGGTCTTCCACCGTTCTTGGTGGCATGGCCAGAACCAAGACAGGCTCCTAGTTTCGGGTCCTTGTAAGGCCACAAGCGCTCATATTGACAGCTGCTGGCTTTCGTGACATGAGCATACTTCCGTTTGCCCTCTGCCCCTGACCAGAGTGTGTTTTCGATATTATGATGTCTCGCCCTTCCCGTCAGTGCCGCCTTCGTGAGTTCTGTTCTGGTGCCAGTTCTTGCTTAATACATGCAGACATACATCCGTAACTGCCAAGTCAATATCAGCCAGGATTGGCCTCTGTTATGCGTATGACTGTAATTTGTATATACATGGCCATACATCTATACACAAACATTCAGTTTAGGTGTATATATATATATATATATACGCGGTGTGTGTATGTGTATACTATATATATATATATACATATATATATATATATATATATGTAGATGTACATGTTTTGTATATGTATATGTAGCGTTATTATATACACATGTTTGTGTACGTATGCCTGTATGTCTGTATGTCTATATGTCTGTATGTCTGTATGTGTGTGTATATATATATATAACATATGCATCATATAACTGCATATACATACGCATACGCATAACACACGGCAGGCGACTTCTATGGGAAGTTCCACGCGCTGCAGACCTTCGCTGGGCACCCCCTGCGCCCTCACTTCCTAGGTGCTCGGGCTTACCAGTGCTTGGTCTGTAGCTTTGGTGGTTGTGTCCTGGCCACAGCCACAAGCGGTCCCTGTGCTCCTCGACATTTATCAATATCTCGTCCGTTTCTGCAGGCAGCAGGTAACACTTAAAAAAAGACAAATCTCAGTATACCTGTGTGACTCTTGTTTCAGTGCCACGGTACAACTGCAAGCATTTATTCTGCCACTCCGGCCATGGCTTTGGGGCCGGCTTCCTTGGAATCCTGGATGCAGCAGCTGCCGGCAGAGGCAAAATCCCGAAGCATCTGCGAGCTGGCACTGCCCGGTGCCCACAACGCAGGGGCGAGTGAGGTGAAGTGCATCTCGCCTTTGGTCTCTGGTGGAGGCTATCTTGCTAGCGTGGCCAAGAACAGCGTTGCCAATGCGCTTGCAAAGCCGCTTGCAGGAGTCATGGCAGTATGCCAGGCGGATGGCATCGGTCAGCTGCTGCGGAAAGGAGTTCGCTTGCTGGATTTGCGTCTGGGGCTGCATGACGGACAGCTCTACATCTGCCACACTGTGGTGTGCAATCGGACTTTTTGCAGTGTGCTCGAGGAGGTAGCCGAATTCCTCCGTGAACAGCTGGAGGAGGTCGTGGTTCTCTTGGTGAAGCGTGACTGGGGCGCTCGGGACTACTTCGACACCCAGGACAGGAGGCGCAGACTTGCGTGATGCTTGCCGCCTACTTGTATATGTGTGTCTATCTATGCATGATTATGCATGTATGCATGTATGTTTCCATCTATCTATTTGTCTATCTATCTATCTATCTATCTATCTGTCTGTCTATCTGATCTATCTGATTTATCTGGCTGTCTGGCTGTCAATCCATCACACAATCAATCAATCAATCAGTCACTCAGTCGATCAATCAATCAGTCAGTCAGTAAATCAATCAATCAATCAATCCCTCAATCCATCAATCCATCAATCAATCGATCTGTCTATCTACGTGTATGTACATACGTATAATATATATATATATATGTCTGCAAGCAGACAGATGGAGCATATCTACACACAGAAATACTGTCCAAGTAGATGCCTGATGCGCCTCCGCTTGAAGGAGACATGGTCCAAAGTGCAGACTTCGCTGGATGAGTTGCTGGGTCCTCAGCTCCTTGAGAACGAGGACCTGCCGAAGCCCTTGACTGACTTAGTCAAGCGAAATCGGAGGGTTCTGGCTATGGTGGAGCTTCCTGAGAAAGTGAAGCAGAGGTGTGGGATCCGAATAACTGGGGGGAATCTGCAATCCAGCTGGAAGGATGAAACTCGGACAGTGTCGGACATGCTGAAAGATCTCGAATGCTGGTATCAGTCCGGACGCATGCGTCCTCAGCCGGGATGCCTGAAAGTCCTGGAGGTCTGCTTGCCCGGAGCACCCTACAGCCTCGGCCCTTGTGCTTGCGCAGCGTTCTGCCGCTTTCTCGCCGATGGGCGCGCCGTTCACGTGGCCACCAAACTCGACTTTCCGGATGAGACGACGATCCGCAGGATCGTGGAGCAAAACTGGTGCGAACCCAGCGTCCAAGGCCAAGGGGTGAAGCCAGATGTTCAGGTTGCACGTGATGTGTCCCATGTTTACCAGAAACTAAAGGAGCAGCCTTGCGCGGGCAACTGCCTTGACAAGCTCGACAACATGACCACGTTGCTGACGAGCTGCACTTCAACTCCCTTCCTCAGCATTGTGTATGGTGGAAAATCAGGTGGCAACAATTGGGGTTACATGGCGACCAGCTGCAACAACAGCCAAAAATCATGGATCTCCGAATGTTGCTATTGCTATCTTGAACTACTGCCTACCTCATCGGCTTCACGTGGCCTGAATCGTGATGCCTTCCGCGAGGGCTGCGAAGACAGTATACGTCAGTCAATTGCGGCATTCCCCGATGGAAGCCAGGACTGCTGCATCGAGCGAGCATCCTTGATTGCTACGACGATGTCTGAGAAAGCACAAATGTGCTGTTACGCAGTCTGCAAGCGCTGCCCAGGGGGGTTCGACCAGTGGGCCTACAAAGGGCCTGAATCTGGTGGTCACCGCTTCCACGAATGGCGCGACACGAGTTCTGGCATCTTTGGGCTGGGCACTGTAAGCCACTGCTTTGTCGTACAGCTTTACTGAGGCAGAGGCATAAAAGTGGATGTGGGGCCACTGCCAGTTGGCCAGTTGTGGGAAACCTTGAACAAATTGAGTCCTGGACCCTGATCGAACTAAATCCCAAATTCGTAATCTTCCATGCTAGATCCCAGGCTCCATGTCTCTAGTCTCTAGTCTTTAGCGTAGGTAGTTTCTGAAGCATTATCATGCAAGCTTTACCTCGCTCCACACCCGCGTTTGCACACACTGCACCGCCATATGGGAACTGAGCCATTCAGGGCTGGGGTTTAGGGTTTAGGGTTCTAGGTTTGGGTTTTTTCTGTCGCGAGGTTTTGCCCACAAATGTCGATCCAGCAGGGACGTCGCCACCGGCAGTAGCACCTTTCCACCGAATCTTCTCTAGAGAGGCGATGCTGATGGCTGCCTTGCACGAGGCTTTCGCTTCTTTACAGCCCGGGCCGCAGGTTGAGAGGGTGCCGTCCACCTGCTCCGGGCATTAATAATGTTGGAACTTGAATAATTAGACGAGCGTTTTGGGCTTTGCCAATAGAAGACCAACAATGACGTTATATTAGCAGTTGTTCAGGTTTCTGTAAGTATTTTGCGGCTGAAGCACTAGGTTGGCTGACTGGTTAGTGGGTTCGGCACATCCTCCTGGATGATTCGGAGTGGTTCATGACTGGAGAGTGTAGGTTTGTGAGTCGGAACTGTACAGGTACGCCGGAGTTCGGTAAACATTGCTTGTATAACAATAGCAATCTATCATCGCGGATGCGTCGTAATGCTATTGAGAGCTATGAGATGCCTTCCAAGAAAAGTTTCTGGAGTCACTGATACTGGAGGAGCAGGTGGTACGCCGCGGTGCCATTGCTGCAGTAGGAACCTTACAGTGGCGAACAGCAGCACAAGCAGCAACAAGAAAAACAACATCAACAAGAGCCCACTACCACCACAACCACCCCTACCATCACTACCTCCACTTCCACCACTACTTCCATCACCACCACCACCACCACCACCACCACCACCACCACCACCACCACCACCACCACCACCACCACCATCACGACCACTATTATCCCCTTTGATGAGCGCCGCCGTCGCCACTGCCCACAACCGCCGCCATGATCACCGCTACAACACGATCTACAACAGTAGTAATGATTCACCAATGATCAGCGTGAGATCGGTAATCGCAACATCTTGCACCAATTGAAATGGCACGCTCATGCTGATCCTACCGCTGCTTCTACTACTACCATCTACTGTGCAGCAACAGCAACAGCCATCGCACCAACTAGAAGACAAGACATGTCAGTTCCAGCAAACAACGTATGACGAACAGCATCCTGCTTTTGACATTCGTACTATGAGCAGTTTCACAGATGCCGCCATACAAACTTGGAGTTATGCCGAAACCCTATAGAAGCACTCCCCAGATCAAGGTGTCAGCACGGTACCAGATTCAGCAGGGACACTGGCAGCCGGATGTGGCCTGACCCGTATGCGATTCTGCATCATGTTGTAGGGTTATAACTGTACTTGATGCTTTGGGGATGACGGTCTGTCACCAAGAGGACACATGTTCGGGCTTCCGGTAAAGAGAGAAGCGCAGTGAGCGGACACTCAGACGCTACTCTGCCCCAAACTCTCAGACCAGGAATAATTTATCGCAGTTTGCAGTGCCGCAGCCGGAGGTTTCCATAAAGCTTTAGGTCACCACGCGCACGTGTGATCCTTGCCTATGATGTATGCAGATCCTGCTGTCGCACTACTTCCTTTATGGTTGTTGTTGCTCCTGCTGTTGTTGTGGTTGCTGCCGCTGCCATCGCTGCTTTATCGCGACGGTCATCGACCTGCGTACTCCTATCCCACCACTACTTGTAGCGCAAGGTCTACTTTGGCCTCTGCACACCTCGACATTGCGATGAGGGCCATGTAGAGGCGCACTTCCTGCATCAGATCCCATGAGAAGCCCTAAGCCCTAAAACCCTGAAGCCTCCTTCGCGAGCAGCTAAGATCTTCCCTCTTACAGTGTGATGCCTCGGCATTCTCTAGAGCTTGAAGCGCATGCTTTGGGGATACCGTGCTGATAGGGTAGATGTGTGTATGTGTATACAGACATACAGACTTGTGAGTTCCGCTCTTGAATCTCGCTACCATGGAGACTTTGCTAAGCAGATTGGGAGGAAGAAAGTCTTCTAGCTATGACCTTGGCCTTTGGGCTTCGGAGTCGGAGCTTTGCACAGGACGCTGCATGCTATGCTGGAAGTGGCTGTTGAGGAAAAGTCGAAGGGGAGGGGGGATGCAATGTGAGTGCGCCGAGGAGTGGTTGCGATTGCATGAGCCTTCAGCAAACCCTCGGCCCCCACCATTAAACCCTTAACCTCAGACCTTAAACCCTAAACCAGGTGAGCCTGGCCCCAGCATACTTGGACTTCCTCCTACGCTTCGAGGGTTTCACCGGGCAGCTGTTCGACCTCAAGGTAGAGGCCACTCCGCACAGGGCAGCTGTGCTGACATGCAGAAGCCAGAAAGAGAGGGAGAGAGAGTGAGCTATATATATATATACATAGCCATACGTCTATATTCTGTTGTTGTTTTGGCAGCTTTCTACTGCATTTCTGCAGTACTGCGTTGCTATATGACCTATATCAACTTACTATCTGTAGTATATTTACGCCATTCACTATATCTACTTTGTTTATACTTTCCCTCATATGACTAGACAACTTTCACTACTACATAGCTACATTACCACCCAAAGAGGCCTCTGACTTCTCGCTTCGCTGGCCATCAGCTCATTGGCTCTGGTTGTTGCTGCCGGTCGCGTCGGGCGCTCGGGACCTGCGGAACTTTGAGGATTTCGAAGTGACGTTACGAGGTTCAGGGACTGGGGTTTGGGGCGCTGGGGTTTAGGGATTGTAAGGGTTCAGGGCTTCGGGCTCAGGGAATGGGATTTGGGGCTGAGGGTTTGCGGATAGGGGTTTAGGGCTTGTAGGGGGCGTTCGCATGGTCGTAGTCGGCTGGTGGCCTCTTGCTTCCGCTGTGCTGTGATGCTGCTCCGGGCTCTGCGCACCTTCCTCATGACGTGTCCGAGCCCACAGTTTTGAGCCCGAATGCTTGCAGCTCCAGAAGCCTAACACTAACACATTCCTCTATAGTCCCTACATAGTCAGTAACTATACCCCAAAACCCTAAACCCAGTTCTCAGTATTAAGGCCCCTTTGCGCTGAAACCCCATGTGGAGGTTTGGCACCGCTTGCGACCTTGTCTCGTTGGGCCCTGGCAAGGATCTCGGGCTCAGGTGCCAGATCTCCAGGCAAGGTGTAGGGGGTTGGGGGTTTAGGGGTTTAGGGTTGAGGGGTTTAGGGTTTAGGGGTTTAGGGTGTAGGGGTGTAGAGTTTAGTAATTTAGGGTTTAGCGGGTTGGGGTTTTAGGGTTGATACTGAAACAGCGTCACTTCGATGATTAGTTTCATATATGACTACCTAGAGAACTAGGATGATCTGTTCTTTTGATTGTCGGTGCAATTTTATATTCTGGTGTTGATCTCGTGCTGTTGTGGTTCGCAGGCGTGCAATGTGCATGGGATTGCTTATTGACAATTCGGTTCTGGATTCCACTTGTCATGACATGTTATGACTGCCATGGTGTGCTGAGTTGCTGGTGTGAGTGAGGTAACGTAGACGCCTAGGCAATCAGGCATGCCTTCCCTAGGCCCTAGGGCCCTAGGGTTGCCATGATTATGGTTGAACATGCCACCAAGAAGTCCCCTTCGACTTATTCAGGCCCCCTTCTTAGCAAATGTCTGCTCTACGATGGTCGAAGGCGCCGTCATGCATTCTGATGCCATAGCCGGGAAAGTCTCAACCAGAGGCTTCCCTTCTGTTCTAACCTGAAACCCTCAACCCAAAGCCCCAACCCTCATAAAACGGGAACCCAAAGCTTAAGATGCTAAATCCTCTCTACTATAGCAGGCTTTTCCAGCTTCCTCTTCAAGGCCACTTGGAGGCAGAGTGGTGCTTTGGGTTCGACTGACTCCTGTGCATTTGCAGAGGAGCGCAGGCTCAGAGTGCCATGTGAAATATTGTTGTAATTAGGGATTTGTGTGTGTGTGTGTGTATATACCCGGCTCGTTTTAGGTCGGTGTCATTATGGGGAGGCTCTCTCAAGGAACCGCTTTGGGATTTGAAGTGGTGGTGAAATTCTGGAGATGCCTTTCCAATCAAGATCCTCCGAGCTGGGGATTTGTCAGCTGTTTCCGAAAGAGTTTCCCGATATCGGCTGAAGCCTAAAGCCCTAAAGCCCTCAACCCTAACCCCTCAACCCTAAACCCTAAACCTGAAGCCCTAAACCCTAGTTCCTCTCGACCCTAGGCCATAAACCCTAAACCCCTAGTCCCAGAACCCCTCCTCCGACAAGGCTGTCTCCGCTCTGAGAGCAGTGGGCACGCTGGCCATCCTGGGGCCGCTGGGCGAGGAGACAACAGGGCCGAAGGGGCTCCGGACCACCAAACTTAGGGGCCTTAAATGAGTAGAGTAGGCTTCGAGAGGGGTTTAGAGTTCAGGGCTTCGGGCTTAGGGGCCTTCATGGCTAGAATATATTTTTTGTTACGGGTTTTTTAGAGTTTTGTTTGAATAAGGGTCGTTAAAGGCTCATTATAGGTTTTGAGATAGGGGGCAGTTTGATTAGAAGGTTCAGGGGAGAGAAACAGAGACTACTGATAAGAAGATTCAGACCCCTATATCACAAAATCCTGGAGTTGCGTGGTCTTTGCAACGAAAGTTGAAATGATGCCAGGTAAAATTGACAGGCGACAGATAGCTACTGTTGCTGCGGTTGCCACTGCTGCTGAAAGCCCCTCCCTGCATCTATGTTCTTCCTCATCTGGAGACCCTTCTCCCCACAAGCCTAAGCCCCAGGACCCTTCAGACTCTAAGCCCCTCAGACTCAACAATCACTCCCATCGCCAAGGTACCACGTGTTTTTCCTGAAGCGAGACCTCGCTAAGGCCAGCTGCCAAGGCTTCAGCTTGGAGCTTATCTGATTCTTTCCTCTTTCAAACTGCTCATCTTTAGACTCCAGTCTCTCTTCATCTTCTCGCCGAGAGCAGGTACAGAACCCTTGTAGAACCTCTATGTACACCCGCTTTTTGAACCCTCATGTAGCCCCTTATGAAATCTTGCCGAACCCTTATAGAATCCTGGGGCGTCTCAGCACGAGCCTTGGGGAGGTCGCATCCATGCCATGGCTCGCTCGCCGGCTGCAGCATCTCGGAAGGGAAGTATATTCGGCTCAGGGTTGAGGGTTTTGTGTTAAGAGGTTTAGGGCTTTAGGGTTTGGGGTTTAGCATTCATGGTTTAGGGTATACGGATTGGGGTTTAGGGTGTAGGGATGCTTGGGGTTTAGGGTTGCATGAGGAAGCACCGGCCTTGGTGATGAGCCCTTAGGTGTTGCCTGCGATCGATGGCCCATTCCTCTCTTGCTTGCTGCTGTGGTGAAGGTATCAAATTACAATGGGGCCCTGAAAGCAACAGCTTCGCTGGTGGGATGCTATGACACTCTTCGTCAGAATCCCTCCGTTGGCAGGGCCCAGAACCGGCAAGCCAGGCACCTGTGCATCCTCTACAGCTCTGTCTTCTCTGCCATTTCGGCGCCACTGGCTGAACAAATGGGGCAGTGCAAGGATTCAGCTTGTGACTCAGATTCAGGCATGCAAGGCCCAAGGCCCTGACTTCGTTTTGGAAGAGCTTTCTGTGAGCTGTGGTATGTCCACGTGTCCAACGATAAGAAGCCTGGTTGCAGTCTGAGCAGCTATCGTCGCAACAGAAACACCAGAAAACAAAAAGGTCTTCGGACTAGCGTTCCCATGCCCACCCAAATCTGAATGTTCACAGCGGTTTAACGATGTTCCAGGGTTTACTTTCGGGGGGTCCTTACGTTAAGGATCCAAGTAAAGTACCCGGGGCAGACCCATGATGGTATTATACCACCCCCCCACCATCAAGGTTCAGTGGCTTTAGAGTCGCAACCCCCAGCACACCCTTTCTTCGATGGCTTGAGAATCCCTCAGACACTAACCCAGGTATTTCTGATGAATCGCTCTTTCGAGGTCCGCTGAGTGTGAGATCCGTGCAGGGCATGAAGATTTTGGTCGGAAGAGTGCGCAAGGGTTGTAGACGAGCCCTTTCGGTATCACTCGCCTCGAAATACCTCTACAATATGATATGTTTGTATGTATGCATGCATGTATGTATGTTACTCTGGGCAATATTATGAGAATAATGCGTATTATCAGCTAATTTACAAGTAGACGTAAATATAAAGGCTCCTGCACTCTTCCAAACCGTTCAACCTCCTCAGCGTTTCCCAACCGGGAGGAGCAACGCAGCCGTGGTGGGGGTGCTGGCGCATGGCTCCGCTGGGGTGCAGCTCGGAGCAGCACGGGAGTAGTTTTCAGATTGCCATAGTAGCAATGGTCGTTGTAATCATCGAGGCCGAACAAGAAGAGAAGTTCTGTCACATGACACGGATGGTCAGCACAAGAAATTAGCAATCATGTTACTGACAGCAATCTGCGAGACGAAGTTGGTCTTTTTTCTCGGCTTTGAAACACATTGTTCGGGTTTCTGTCTCTAGTACAATAAGAGTTGCTGGTAGGAGAGCAGTGTCAGAGTCGCGATAAGCTAGAGATTTGGCGCTTTCGCACCTGTGCTTTGACTTTGCTCCTACGACGATGACTAGCAGTACCAGTACCAGTGCCAGTGCCAGCACCAGCACCAGCACCAGCACCAGTACCAGTAATTAGTACTACTGGTTCTGGTACTGTACTGTTACAACTGCAAGACGAAGACTGCGACGACTGTCACACACCACCACCACCCCCGCCCCTCGGACAACGACGACTACTATACTACAACTACCGGCATGGCTTGTACTGACAAACGCGAAACCTTTTGACAGTCTTTCGCACCTGGCAGGCTGCCCGACTCTGGCGGAAGGCCCTTCGTCAGGCCTCCGAGCTTCCGAGTCATTCAGGGTTTAGGGTTTAGGGTTCAGTCTTCCAGCAGCTTGAAAAGAAAGACTACCGTCGAGACTTGAAGCTTCCAGGCTGTAGGGGCCGTGTCTTCCGTAGGGCTTTGAGTTGGAGTTTCGGACTTGATGACATTGGAGGGATACCTGTGGCTGTGATTGGAGAGTAGCATCCACAGCTCCGCAGCTAGCTGAATGTAATATAGGGGTCGGAAAGATTAAGAATAGTATTCCCTTGTAGTCCCTGCATGACTCTAGTATAATATACCCCGAGACCCTCTTTTAGTCAGTAAGACCCCTACGTACTTGGAGGATCATGGGACTTAGTAACTAGGGTTATAATTAAGGTAGCTATACTTATAATTACGTATAACTTATAACCCCAATTAAGGTACTTATAACCCTACTTACTAAGTCCCATGATCCTCCAAGTAAGGCTTGGGGCTCCCTGGAGAGTGGCAGGTTCCTCCGCTCCTGTTGGCCTATGCGATCTTCCATCAAGGCAAACATCTGCTGGGACATGCCGAAGCATGGGTGGAGCCACCTGGCTCTACATAATCTAACCCGAAGCCCTAAAATCTATAAAATCGTGTAATATCGTGAAGCATGGCAAGATATTTTTATATATCATATATATATATATATACAATCTCAAGATTATATTCAATGACATGCCTCCAGGCCTGTTAGCATCGCAGGTCTGCCGCTTCTGCCGTTGGACATTGCGGCACGCGCCTCACTCGAGGCAGGTCCCTTTTATGGTGCGATCGCTGGCTGAGTCTGAGTTCAGCTGTTCTACACGGATCTTAGATGATGCTGTCGTATCCAAACGGCCATCTCGCCAGCCAAGGGCAAGAAGCGGCTCTGCTCTAGCTTCGAGGATTCCTTCAACCCTGAATGTCTCTTGTCTGAAGCAGCCGCATCATTTGCCACATGGTGCTGCCATCTTCGGGAGCACCTCCAGCAAACCTGTCAAGAGCAGAGCCGTGTCTGCTGCGAGCCGAGAACGTACACCAGCATACTGATGTGTCCTCCTGCGCAAACTTGCCTCCATCTTCTTATAGTCCTGAACCTTAAACCCTAACCGCTACACCCGTTTTGAGAGAGTTGGGTTAGCAGCTTGCCAAGCTTAATTTGTCGCTGCAGGCTAAGACAGTTCTGCCAGAGCTGGGCGTGACTCAAAGGGACTGCACATCGGCTTATTGGAAGCTGTCAAGCAGGGACGTAGGTTCCAGCCGGGACGCCGGTGAGTGCTGGTGTTACGTCGAGCAGGTGCCTCCTATAATGTAATGGCTGCAGGCAGTGATGCGCAGTCTTCGAGATTTCACATTGCAACCTGAGCAAACTTGGTCAGTTTGGGTCAACCTGAAGAGTCTGGTGCGATCAGGCCGGCAGAGGGACGCTGATGCCTGAACGGCTTGTGTGCAGAAATGCGAATGCGACGGTGGAGATCGAGTGAGGGGCAGCACCGCAACGAGTCCGCCCGAGGACTCAAGCAGGTTGTCATACAGGAGATGACTTGGGCAGCTCCGGAGGAGTTCCGGCACAGGCGTCGTCTATGCACACAAAGCGGCACAGCGAAGCGACCCGCCGGAAGGAAAGGTTCGCATCAAGACGATGCCAGCCCAGAGCATTGTCGTCCACTCAGCCCGGTTGGGTGGACGACCATCCTCTGGGCTGGCATCGCCAGTCCTCCTCATGATGTCCAACTACGAGCCCGACACCTTGTCCTTGGCGGGTTGCTCCAGTGAGCCACGTCACCACCTTCTCTGAGCCCCATGGCGCTCAGCAACCCGACAGCCGTGCTTAGTGAAGGCTTAGTGGCTCCACAAATGCACATCACCAACCCCTGCGAGAGCAACGGCGCAAAGAAAGCTGACCATGTTATCTGTATTCTTTATGATTGCGGAAAATATTGTTACTCACGAATATCATTTCGCTCAGTTTTCTTTGCGCCGATCTGGGCTCTGCTAGCCGAGCTGTGCCTTGGGACGCTCCTAACCTATAGTCTCCATTGCAGTTCCTCGTTTTGGTTTAGAAAGTTTATTTTTAGGATCCTAAAATGGTCCTAAAACGTAATGAACCCCCCATAAAAAGGAACTACAATGGGAACTATAGGAAGATTTAAGAGACTCGCAGCGTCAAATCATGGTTTGTCGGGCCTGTGCTGCACGAGCGATCCGGCATCCTGATCAGGCCTGGGCTTGTTTAGGGTTTAGGGTTTCAGCGAACTTCATACAAAGGTCGTTGGCATGCTTACCTTGGTTGGTGGCGGCCGCGATTGTGCCACATCTGGCCAAAGACAGCACAGGTCCCCTTGCCAAAGTGCGATCTTGCAGAGAGTCTCCAATGCTAAAGCAACAGGGAGCATAATGTATGGAATGGTGCTATATTATCTTGATGCACTTTGTTTTCGATCTGCTGATGCAGTCTGCTCCGTACGCGTTCCCTTCCAAGTAGAGTCGAATTCCAGCGCTGGACAGTGCAATGCCGGCACGGGGAACTGAACGCAGAATACTGATTGTTTCCGAGCCATGGCGTCTGCAAATCGCTGAAGGAAACCAAAAGACCAACAGTCCATGATGTTGCGACGTTGATTTGACAACACATATTGTAGAGGGCACGATGTGCCTGCCATCGGCGAGGTTGGAACACCTTCGCGAACTGGGCCATCCTTCGCGATGCGCAGCTCGATGCCACTGGAACTGAAGGAGCCTGGTTTTTGCTGAGTTTCAGATTTTGGCAGAATCGAAGCGCAAGAGCAAACAGGACAAGGGAGCCTAGGTGCATGCAGGCAGCTGCTGTCGTTTTTGCAAATCATGTTGATTATGATTCTCCTGATCGTGCTGGTGCTGCTGCTGTTTATGTTGCCGGGAATAACAAATCCCTGTCAGGTACCTGCCTCTGTGGTGCGTTAATGTTGCTTTTCCCCTGGCCATTAGCTTGTTCCGAACTCCCTTAAACGTTGTCTACGCCTCTAAAACCACAAGTCGTGGAACACGGTCTCGAAAGCCGGAAAGCCCTGAGCCCCTAAACCCTTACTAGTACCTCTAAACCCAAAGCTCCAAAGCCCAAAATCCCATTAAGGAGGCTTGAATATATTCCCTCATCGTCCCCACATCAATATACTGCAGTGTATGAAGGCCCCTAAAGTGCATGCACAATGCCAGGTTGCCATGGCTGTGCTACTAGCCTCGGGGCTGCATTCAGCCGTCAGGTGTGCAAAAAACTGACAGTGCGTGGTTCAACCATGATTGCGGATGAATTTTGGATTTAGAGCCCTCGTACTACGGACTGTCTCATTTAAGGTTCAGGGTTTGACGCTTCGAGCCCTTACTTCAGGCCGTAGCTCGCAAGGTTCCTCCTTATAAGTATCGTACAAAATACCCCCAAGCCCGATTCCAATTACTTATGCCCCTTTTTTTACAGATCCCTTGTAGCCCTTATCGAGGCCTCCTCTGAACCCTAAACGCTCTTCTAAACCCCAAACCCTCTTCTGCTTTGTAGTCTTGACAGCTGCTGTGAGGTTTTGCGGGGGATCGTCGGCGATCTTCTGGGCTTGGCGCTGACGGACAGAACGAGGGCTACAGGTGTAGGGAGTTTAGGCTCTTGGATTGAGACATAGGATGTCGGGTTCAGGCTTAGAGTACCTAAACCCTACCAAAAACCCTAAACCCTGAACCCTAAACCGGGACCATCAGCTGCACCCCAAAGCCCGAATCCATAGAACCGAAATTGAAAGGGTTTGGAGTCCCAGCAGACTGCCACCACAATCTTGGGACCGATAACGTTTCAGGTTCATGATTTATGTCAGGTTTAGAGGGTTTCGGGGTAGTGCCTTTTGGGGTTCGCGCTCCTGGGCCTGCGTGCACACAGACGTACGTATGTACATGCATGCATATGTAGGTATGTAGGTTATGTAGGCGTTCATGTGTGTACCCAGCATGCATGCATGCATGCATCCCTTCAAATATGTACATATGTATGTGTGTATGTGTGTATGTATGTATGTATGTATGTATGTATGTATGTATGTATGTATGTATGTATGTATGTATGTATGTATGTATGTGTGTGTGTCGTTGGCCGCAAGCCGAAGAAGCACACGAACACATAACATGTTGTTCTGTATGTCTCCCTTGGTCTACCTACTTAATCTACATCCGCATCTTTTGATTGTAATGAGTGTGTATATATATATATATACGCATACATACACACATGCATGCATGCATATCTCTCTCTCTCTCTCTGCATACATAGGTTCTTATCTCAATATGCACACATGATACGCTTGTGCAATTGAGCCTGCTCCATCTGCTGCCAAACCCGGGAGAACCTCGCGTACCCTCGCCCCTGCCATGGGCATGCAGGGAGCTCTCCTGGCGGTCGCTCTGCACAGCATCCTACAAGAAGACCTGGGTGATGAGAATCTGACGCTTGGGAGGATACTTTAATTTAGGGGTTTGCAAGGCATCCTGGTTTCTCCCTACCTCGATCCCATCATTTGAGGCTTGAAGGCTTAAGAGTTACGCTGCATGATAAAACACATCATTCACAAGCAGATACTTTGAAGTTACTACAAGAGTGGATATAGTGTAGCAGGTTCGTACATATGATTTTCCATTCACATATCTGCATATCGACATGTGCGCAGAAAATAGCAGGTGGTTCTGATGTGTAAACTCAACCATACCAATGCCAACACTGGCAGACAGGGGGCCTTATTGATTAGATGAGCTATATTAAGAACCCTCGCGAATAGCCTTGCATAGTCGATGACTCAATGACAACTGTTTGCACGCCTGTCCTAACCCTGAATCCTAAACTCCTAACATGGGATGCCTGAGTCTTTGGTCGCTGCCGTACCGGCGCCTCCCGGAGACTTTGAGCACCATGATCATGGCAACCTGGCTCCCGCGACTTGCCATCAGGGGTTTAGGGTTTAGGGAAATAGGGCTTAGGGATTGGAGTTTTGGGTTTGGGGTTCGCAGGTTTAGGGTTTATGATCGTGAGGTTTTTGGATATTTCTGCTCCTGCTAGTCGTGTTGTTTCCTGGCCTCATCGTCGTCGTGTTGTCCTTGCGTGATTCACATTACTAGTGCATCAGCGCAAATCCCTTCTCCCGTTTATCAAACACCCCCTAATAATGAAAGACTTCTGAAATCATCCCTGCCCTGTAAAACCTAGTTTGCATTAGGGGTCCGGAGCAAGAGCAGGAGTAAGAGCAAGAGCAGGAGCAAGAGCAAAAGCAAGAGCAGGAGTAAGAGCAAGAGCAAAATCAAGAGCAAGAGTAAGAGCA